TTTTGATTGGTTGATTTTAGTTATTGGCCTTCTGACTGCCCAACTCATGTAATAAATACCGGTATATCTACCCACTTGAGCTGTGCAAAGAGATGTTTATTATGGTGTTGTTGGAAGGAATAGTCAAGTAGTAATCAATGGACCAAGGTTTACATACCCAAGGGACAAGGCACTTATTCTATCATTATAGGGGTCCTTTTTGCTCAGAAGTTTTAATGTGCATTAGGAATTTTTTTTCCCATTAATTTTATTCAATCAAATAATAATTTTTTATATTTTTTCATCATCAGTTATTTCCTCTTTTCTTTAGGCTGGAGGACTCCTCTCGCAGATGTCAACAGTGTTAAATAGTTTCAAGATGTCATCTATTGGAAGGTGTATGTCATATGTACAGACTAAAACACAGCACGATAATAACACAAAAGTAAAAACGGAACCAAGCGTAGCAACTGCCTCAGACACGGTGATATCTGACAGTGTAAGTTAAAAAAAGCTTTTTTTTTTAACCAGGTACAATGACACCTCTAGACAACCATCAATCTCTTTTTGAAGGGATGATATGTGTTTAGGAGTGTTAGGCCTTGTTCTCCAGACCCACGTATACAGTATCCATACTTATTTTTACATAGCATGTGCATTATTTATCTTTGATATTTTTAAGTCTAATTTTTTTCGATGTAGAAGTTTGGAATGAGGTAGCTATAAGTGAAGTTGTAAATGTTCGAAAATGATAAAAAGGTTTTGTTTTTTGATTACCCTAACAAAATCTCAATGTGATTTTTTTTTCTAACCATTTTCAAGAAACTATCTTGAAACTAGTCCTACCCGGACTAGAACGGAACATATGCAAACCATGCGAGTAGTCCACCCATCCACCCAATATATCCCACCCATCCCATCCCAGGGGAGGACATCCATCACACAGTAATCTCATGCGTGGGAAATTAACGTCTCCTATCCCTAACCCTGTAGGAGACGGGACCTCCATTTATTCATCCCTATCCGAGAAGACGAGAATATCTAACCATTACTTGATGTTATAGAAAGTTAGCCTATTCTTCTCAATTATTTTAAGACCTTGAGTGTTGGTTCGGCCGGGTCTTGAACCCTTGACCTCCCGCACAACAGTCCAGCGCTCTATCCATTGAGCTAACTGGGAGGTGGTTGCTTTGCCATCACGGGTTCTCAGTCATTTCATTAATTTTATTTTAATACTTAGACATTTCACGTGTACTACATTTCATACCTACTGTATTTGTTATCAGAAAAAAAGTGACATAACTTTGTTTTCCTCTTTTAGGATCCTTATGCAACATTTCTTGAAGAATTTGGTTTGTCATCTGTTCCAGCTGAACTGTTATCCCAGCTCACCATGCCTTCTTCTTTCTGTCAGTGTAACACAAACAGCACGGATAACTTTTGGAGAGTTTCTCATGTCTCTTCAGATTCATTCTTCAAGAACAAACATGGTAAGGCTAAATTTCAAGACATTTAAAATTTTGTGTGTTTCTTTTAATTATACTGTACATATAATTTTAAAATTGTTAAAAGCATTCCTAAGACTGAGAAACTTTGGCAAGGCTCAACACTAACTGTAGCCCACTAGCCACAGACTGGTAGAAATTCAGTTTTGGCTAGTACTGTGGTTTTCAATTCTCACTAGCCAGTTTGGCTAGTAGACAGACTGAAATTGTCGTAACATCTAAAAACATCTAAGATGTCACTAGCCACGTGGCTCGTAAGTGGAATAATTAGTGTTGAGCCCTGCTTAGGGTTGAGAGACTAAAAAATTTGAAACTGTCAGTATTAAATTTAACCTCTAAAAGAGTTACGATAGAATTTCAAATGTTGTTGTAATGCTCAAAACTTACCAAAGAAGAGAATTTGTGGTTGTGGCATTACCAGGTTGTAATTATATAAAAATCAGTGTTCCAAGCTGCTTCTCGTTTGGTCGTGATTAAGAGTAAAGGAAAACATTTCTGAGCTAAAACTGCAACAAAAGTAGCTTATCTCTTCAGTACATCACTTGTGTGACAAGCTGTGATGTGATTGGTTGATTTTGATCAGGTCTTACATCAAAGTGAGATGTATGAGTACAATATATATTTCTTTGTGTGATTAAGTATCATTTATACCTCCTCTTGTGGTCACCAGGTAGCAACTCTGGAAAACATTGTCTGAGTTATTGCAGGACTTGAAAATTAATTTTGTCTCACTAAGTTGTTGAGTTGCTGATTGCATCTTTTCTTAACAGGATTTTCAAGTAGACCTGATAATTTAAGACACAAGTCGTCCATCTTCATGACATGTTTTTCAAAAATACCATGGCTACACACAACATGTAAGTGTACCAACTGTATGTTTTAGAAAATTTAGGGTCCATAGATTGGGGACATCGCTGATGAATTACTCTAAGGGTACAAACAAGGATTACCTTTGATGCTGTATAGATTTCACTGCAGTCCAGCTGTGGCCAAATTATGTTTAAAATGTGACCACAAAGTTTTGATCTTCTTTACTGTAGTTCACACCCAAAACAGAGGGATGCATTCCCATTCTCTGCGGCGAATACAGCAGCTAGAGGAGAGAGCCAATGCAGAAGAACACAATCCCAGGGCTCAATCAGAGTATTTACGGGTCAGTTTATGTTCATTTTGTGCTCAGAGAAAATTCATGAAAACTGATTTAACAGGAGTAGAGTTTGATACTTACAAGAAGCAGGAATGACTGTATTGTTACCATTATTTTGTGTTTAACTTTTCAGGCTTTGGTTCAGGAGGATCCAAACTATGTTGTGAGGAGGTATGAAAGTGGAAAATAAGCCATAGACCAATCTGTGACCAATGAATACTTGAAGGTGAAGTTGCTTAAGTTGAATTTTTTTGTACTGGGTTTTGTTTACACATTATGCAAATACAATGTAACCAGTTGTAATTATAATATGTTCAGTAATTATAATTCTGTTCAGTAATTATAATATGTAAAGTTTAGTTGAAAATGATTACTGATTTTAATTTAATATGAAACTGGGGAGATTACCAGGTCTTGATAAGTCATACAGTACGGTAAGTGATCAAGTTATTTCATGATCTAAGATGCAGCTTGAACTTTGTTATCATAAACTTTACAGGCATTGGTGATGACAGACAGAGTAAACCAAGTTGACATGAAAAAGGTAACTATGTAACTTAATATCATTTTTTTTTTGGATATTTGAGTTTTGCAAAGGTTGTGCTAAGGTCAGTCTTGGTTTGAGAAGTTGCTACTTCTGTCCCACATACCAGTTAAAAGTGAATACACATGTATGCATATGTGCATGTGTTACTTAAAGCACAATATTTATAGTCTGATGAAAAGAGAAGTAAATTCACCTTAAATGAGCATTATTTTCGTTGGCCAATTATGGTTTCCAGAATTCTATTTAACATTATTGGTTCATGCTTTAGCGTGCACTATCGAGTTATAGAGCACGTGGGAAGTTTGAAGAACACGAAAGAAACGTAAGAGTTGCCCTCGGCTATCACCTCGGGCAACTCTAGCTTCTTGAATGCTCTCCAAACTTTCCATGTGCTCCATAACTAGACAGTGCACAACTGAAAGCATGAACCAATAATTGTTTTAGAACATAGCTGGTGGAATTGTGCATCAAATCCGATGTGAAAAACGGACAACAATATTAATTGAAGTGAATTGTGACGGCATTGATGCCGAGTCTCCTTTCCCTTTGTTTTTCTCTTTTTCTGCCCCATTTAAGAACTGTAGCCCAAGGGAAAAGGTTGAAAAATTGTCTTTGTTTTGGGACTAGTAGGCAGAGTCTCAGTTTGTATCCATTATTGTTGTGAAATTTATTATTTTTCCCTGCGCTAACAATGGCCACTCGCGTGAAAAAAACAAATTCTGGCAAAGCGATTTGCTCACGCTATCAGCATGCAGTATTGGGATTTTGAGCACACTTATGTATACTGAATTTGATTGCGCGGCTCTGCTAGCTATGTTCTAATATACCATTGAGGAGTACCTTGGGAACCTACATCTAGGGTTCTGGATAACGGGACTTTTCAGAGAATGGGCCTTTTGTGATAATGAATCATCTAAAAAACTCTCTAAACATCTTATGAATTTTTGCCCAGATAATATGAAAACTGATCTGTATAAAAAACCTGCCATGTGAAAACTTGAATTACTATCAGTACAATAGGTTTGCATCTGCAGGTATATTTTTTTACAGACTAAATTAGAAGTGCAAGCCATGTTACTGTATCTAAAGCCCTAACAATCTGCCTAGCATTATTTTAGCCTTGAAATTAGGTCTTTCATGTATTTCAGATTTTTTTTTCAGGGCGGAAGGGAGGGAGATGGTTCATGAAAAACTTTGGGCTCCAGATGAGTATTGGGAAGAGGGGAGGTCATTAAAGAGGGGTTCATCATCATAAATCATTGGTCTCTATAGTTTTTTGTTTTGTTTAGATCTTGTCTTCAGGCAATGATTATGGCAGTACATCATCCCATGGGGCACCAACCTCTCCTTTAGTTCAAACAGGAACTGAGGACAGTCCTATACATGTCATTACTCAAAACCAGAAAGGTGAAGACACTTCATTTTGATCCAGTTGGTTTTGACTGGCAATTTCTACAAAACACTGAAAATTTTTTATTTGAAAAACACTTCAGAGATGAGAATTCCCTCTTTTACTCTGCAGGTTCATTCTTCCGAGAACAATTTTGGAACACGGTCAGATTTTTGATTGCCCTTTTTCTGATAACCTCCCTGATTGAGGGACAACTTCAAATGAAATGTTAGTATAAGGTGTGAAGAGAACAGTTCAAAGTTTGGAGTTTCTTTTTTGTTATTTCTATTATTGATGCAATGATCAAAATTGTAATGCACATTTTTTCATGGGTGATTGGTTTTGGGCAGTGCACTTTGAACATTGAACTTAAACCCGAACTTTTGATTTGTTTTGATTACGTTGTTCAGAAACATAAAAGTACCAGTACATGTACACATGTAAACCTGTGTGGCTGCATATGTTGTGTCATTGTAATTGAATGGGTGTGTTATTTGTACCCCTTAAAGTATTTAGAATTGCTTTCTCATTTCGTATTTTATTCTTCTAACCCTCAACCTATGTTTGTTCTCTAAATTTATTTCAATATCAGTTCTTTTAAATTAGTAACAAAACTTTATTCAGTTCTTTGTGTAGTATTTGCAGTAATAGTCATTACTAACAATTTGACATGACTGTTTTGCTTCTGTCCAATTTTGATGAATTGTTTGTGGTGATGGCAGACTATTGCTCCTTGCCACATCAGTCACAACATCTTTTACTGCACATGAAATTTTAGCTAGGCATTGCTACATACCAATAATATTTGTAAAGTGTTGTTCAACCATTTTTAGCCAGTCAATCTGTGGTGATGAGGATGTTTTTTTTGTTATTTTGGCACTGCAGTAACTTCAGGTCACAAGGATATTCAGCCCAACACTACAGACAGAAAGTGCAGATTTAGTGATGTTCAGGGGGTAAGTCTAAAGCAAATTGAAACATCTTGACAGATTTTGGCAGATTGCTTTCTTTAAAATGTTGTTAGGCCAGCTTACTTCAAGCTGTTTTACTGGTAAACTGTGTAGCATAACTTTCTCATTTCTGATTTGGTTTTCTTTGCCCTACATGTAGTACACCTGCAGTCTCAGCTGAAATGATAAAACTGTTTTACCCCAAACGTATCTTCGCAAAAAAAGGTGTATGATGTAACCCCCAGCAAGTCTTGATTGAACTTCCATTCCATGACCCTAAATTTGTTGTGAAATTGATTGTACTTCAATTTGTAGTTTATGCTTTTTGAACAATATATATAAAGTACCACTCAAAAGAATGTTGACAGTCCCTTGATTCCTGATCTTGGGTTCTCAAAATTTTTTTAGGATAAAGGAGTTTTCAAGACTTTGACTTGATTTTCAAGACTTACAAGAAAGGAAAAAAAAAAAAAAACAGAATGTTGTGTGATTGATTTATAAATTATATGTGGTGAGTGTAAAATACAACAATAGTGCCAAATTCCCTCTATTTTTCAGGTGGATGAAGCTAAGCAAGAATTAAAGGATGTCGTTGAGTTTCTGAGAAATCCAGAGAGATTTAAAAGACTTGGAGGAAAGATGCCAACGGGTGAGTACAAGGTCAACTCCATTCCTTTCTTTTGTTGTCACCCTCTAATTGATGTTGTGTGTTTTTGTTTTTGTTTTTTTGTTTTTTTGTTTCTTTTTTAGGAGTTCTTCTCATTGGCTCACCGGGAACAGGCAAAACTCTTCTTGCCAAGGCTGTTGCTGGCGAGGCTGGGGTCCCTTTCTTCTTCTGCTCTGGTTCAGAGTTTGATGAAATGTTTGTCGGAGTTGGAGCTGCACGAGTCAGGAATCTTTTTGGTGAGTAAAGATGAGGGTGTGGCCATGAGTTCAGAGTAGAAGAGGTTGCTCCACCCTGAAGTGCAGTTATCCAGCCTCCATGCAGCTAATAATTATTATCGTCCATAATTATGTTGGTTTTCTTATGAGAATTGAATTATGATTTGATACAATTCTGTGCAAAAGAAATGCAACCAATGATCACCAGATATTACTCCCTTTGTTCTGTTTTAGCTGCTGCAAAAGAGCATGCTCCCTGCATAGTTTTCATTGATGAGTTGGATGCAATCGGTGGGACAAGAATTGTTCACGATCACCAGCCGTATTCCAGAATGACCCTGAATCAGTTGCTGGTTGAATTGGATGGGTGAGTTATTTTTTTTCTTTCCTGTGGTTTTCACTTTAAAAGATAAGTTCCACGCATTTTAAAGGATTTTTTTTGTGGCTCATCAACCACTGCAATGTAATATGAGAGTAGCTCATGAATAACTGTTACGTGACATGGCCAGCTTTAGATCTACTGACGAGTGCTTCGCCCTTTAACTCTCCTAAGTGACGAAGACAGAATCTCTCCTTACAATATCAGTACAATTTTAAGCAGACAAATGATGAGAATAAGGAAAAAAAGAAAACCCGGGAATTATCCGTTGATCCAATACCAAATTCTCCAAACTAACATCGCAAGAACTGCAAGTTAGACGTTAAGGAGAATTTTGGGAGTGAGAGGGTTAACGCATCATATGCATGCACATGTATGTTGTGTTTCAATTTAACCCCTGGTTCAAAAGACTTGGAATCAGGAGAGGAATATTTTCGTCTGAATTAAAGGTAGTCTTTTCAGTCTTACAAAAACCGTATTAATAAACTTGATGACACTAGCTGGTAAAGGTTTTATTTCTGCCATACTTGAACCAAATATCTCGTGTACAATGTAGAGAATGTATTTTGCAGTCTGTCTTACGTACAAAATGTCTTTTTGATAGATTTGATACAGGAGAGGGGATAGTTGTAATTGGAGCAACAAACTTCCCAGAGGTTTTGGACAAGTATGTTTTGTAGCATTTTTTCTTTGTTTGTTCGTCTTTTTTTTTTTTTTTTTTTTTTTTTTTATTTTTTTTTTTAACGTTTCACGCATAATGTATAGCGTTTTTTAGAACAACCTTTCCTCAATGGAAAAAGTTTGACATGACAGAGGTTACTGAAGCACAAGGAAAATTTGATGTTTTTAATAGGGGCACCTAGTATATTAAAAATAACCCTTCATAAATGCGTATCACACAGGGCTCTAATCAGACCTGGCCGATTTGACACCAAGATAACAGTACCGATGCCCGATGTTAAAGGGCGACATGACATCCTCAAGGTGCATCTGAAGAAAGTACAAGTTGCTGAAGGTACAGTATATCTATTCTAGTCCCATTAAAAAAAAATCCCATTAAAAACTGTGGGTCAAATGAAAATAATCATCAGCAGCCTTAACCTTTTTTTAATAAAGTTTTTTTTTTTAATTCCATTGATTTCTAGTGAATTGCAGAGGGAAAGGGGCTGCTTGCAGTGTGTTGTCGTGTATGCAGCAAAACTTCTCAGTGGTTTCTTAATTTTATCACAGATTGGTGGTTTCCTCCTACCCGCCTTCAAAATGATAATAGCCTGCACTCGCATTGTAGGTGCTGTATATAGCGGTGATTCACCGTTTTTCACTTTATGCACAGGGTAACAGCATTTACATGTAGATGCAACTCTTTGATTTTCTAACCAGTGTTCTTAGAGTTTGAGTTTATCTTTCGCTGCTGTCTCTTTGTGCAGAAATCAATGTAGAAGTGCTTGCAAGAGGAACTGTCGGCTTCTCAGGTAAGATTTTTTTTGGAAATGTCTGCCGTATTTAATCTGTAGTGGAGCATGAGAGAACTGGTTACATAGTCTTCTCTGAATGTATAGAAGTTGGACAGTTCGGGACAGTTCGGGACAGTTCGAGACAGTTCGAGACAGTTCGAGACAGTTGTGCAAACCCCAGACACAGACTATCGACCAGTGACAACGTGCATAGTATCTACGTTATCATATAAAGGTCTATTTCAGAGGTATATTAGAATTAAGGTGGGTGATGACCTTAAAAATGTTGTACTTTATGTTACGACGTTGAGTCACTGGTACCCTCTATAGTATGGACTTCTCTCTTTTATGTAGGGGCTGACTTAGCCAACTTGGTGAATGTAGCCGCAATTTATGCAGCAAGTGAAGGAGATGCCAGCGTCTCAACGAAGCACCTTGAATTCGCGAAAGACAAAATCATCATGGGTAAGTCTGGTTCTTTTCTTTACTTTGCCGTTTTTCCCTATATTTTTAAATTGCCGCCTTGCTAGCTCAATTGGAAGAGTTCAAACTGCCGTATGGAAGGTAAAGAGCTTTTGATTAAACTTTTCGCCGAGATTGAGGTTGCGCCTGGTCCATCTCATCTCTCAGAACTTGACGAACAAGTACAAGTTACAGTGTCTTGGTTTGTTGTTAATGGAAGTCTCAACCTGTGGTGATTTTGACAGCTGCTTTTCTTTTGTCTCTTGGCTTAATATTAAATCTCTAATGATTGTGTTTGTGAGCATTTCCAGTTTCTTTCTTTTGTTTTCGTACGATAATTGTGTCACTGAAAATTATCTAATTAAAGTTGTTCAAAACTGATGGCGAGGTCTACGTAAAGTCTTACGACTCACACAAGTGGCCCCAAGGCTTGAACTTATCCATATTTCCTACGCATGAAGCAACAAGTAGTATTCTTTCTCTTCCTGAATCGAATAGCACGAGGGAAAAGCCTGATCATTGCTCGAGCCCAGGCCTTTTGATCCTTGATCTCATGCGCACGCCACGAGGCCAATGCGTGTTCCACTTGTCCGTGGGTTCACTTGTGCTCAATGTTACTTAATATTGTTGTAGGTCCTGAACGGAAAAGTAAAGTCATTGAAGCCAAGAATAGGGAACTTGTGGCCTATCACGAAGGAGGACATGCGCTTGTGGCACTTTACACCCCTGAAGCTTTGCCAATACACAAAGCAACTATTGTACCGCGGGGTCAGACCCTGGGAATGGTAGGTATCACGTCCGTAAACATATGCTGCATTTCTTTGCTTGGAGAATAGTGGTAGAAGTTTTTGTTGGGTGTGCCGCCGAGACCTTCGAACCCTAACTCTTAATTAAAACGAAATCTAATGGGGCGAAACTTGCAGATACCAATCATAGAGGAAAGAGAGTAGACAGTTCATTTACTCAGTAACTGAACACATGTTTCAACTTTGTTTAAAGGTTGCCATGCTCCCAGAAAAAGACGAGTTGAACTGGTCGAGAGCTCAGCTCCTGGCGCGGCTGGATGTGGCAATGGGCGGCCGTGTGGCAGAGGAAATTATTTTTGGCAAAGAGAACATCACAATGGGTACAAGTGATATAGCTGCCTGTAATTTACAGCGTATTTGTAAGATGAATGTCACATGCTCAATTTATTTAGATGCGAGTCAGGAAAACCGGCTTAAGTGCTCGAGGTTTAGGCGTAGTGATTATTTCTCTGGAATAATATTGTGAAAGAGAAAGGTTGGCTGTATGAACTGGTGTTTTTACACAGTTCCTTTGCACTATTTAAAACCTTTTTTTGTTTATTTATTGTTAGGAGCCGCGAGCGATATGGAAGCGTCAAACAAGATTGCCCATGCCATGGTGTCTATATACGGCATGAGTGACAAGGTACTGTAAGGAATTTGTAGCACGGAATCGAGTTTGATATGTTGGAGAGCATATTTTAATTAGGAGAAATGATTAGCGAGAGAGGGGAAGGTTCCTTGAAGTCATTCATCGACAATCTCTCGAACGGAGGGGTGTGTTCGGAGTTTCCCGGGTTGACCATGGGAGTGTTGTTTCCGCGGAACGCACGTAGCCTTCCTCGACGCGTGGCCTCGCTTTGATGTCAAAAGTGGTGACTTAGCATTCAAGTGGCGGGTTGTGGTTAGGCGAATGGTGAAGAAGAACAATAGAGAAATCATGCAACAGTTCACTTTCTTTATGTCCTTCTATCGTCGTTCGTTATCAATAAAGTTATGTTGGGTGAGGTTTTCATTGGCTTATGCTGCCTAGTTTCCCGCAAGGCGCCTCGTCAATTTGTATATTGTAGAAGTGACTAAACCATTCAATAAAAGTCTAGCCAGACGAATTGATTTCTCTCTTTCTGCTCTCTTTTTGCTCTCTTTCTGCTCTCTCAGGTCGGAATGGTTCAAGTGAAGGATGTTTCGAAATCGAGTCCTGAGTTACAGGCACTTATTGAAAGCGAAGTCAAGCAGCTTCTGAAGGTGAGCAACAATTATTACGAAAGGTAAAGCCACGTTTATGCAATCACCAAACGGCAAGAATTCAGTTATCTTAGCTGTCTCTTTCAGCGACTATTTACGCGACATAGCGAAATTGTTTGCAGTATCTGCAAAAAGTAGATATTCCTCTGACTTTTGAACGGTTGGATCTATTTATGGATTTAAAGAAAAGGAGGCAAAATCGGTGGTCAAACCAAACTTTCGAAGAATCTTAACCCTTCCATTCCTAAAATATTATTTCATCACATCAATACATCGTTAATACGACAGATAAATAGAAGGGCGTGAAGCAACAAGGAAAGATTGCATATCTTATACCTTTATACAATCAAAGGCTTATTCGTGGGGGGGGGGTGGGGTAGTTTTTAACCACTAGTTGTTTACTTCAGAGGGTCTGAATCTTTCTGAATCCTTGTGCTGTGTTTTAGGACTCTTACGAAAGAGCGACGAATATACTACAGACGCACTCTAAGGAACACAGCCGTTTAGCCGAAGCTCTGTTGAAATACGAGACTCTTGACTTGCAAGAGATCAAAGAAGTCATTCAGGGAAAACAGCTCTCTAGAAACTTGTGATGTTGGCTCTTCCAGACTGAACTTCTTTTTCGTCAAACTAAATATCAGCTGAAATATTTAAATATTCATTTAAATGTTGTCGTTACTGAATGAGGCTTCGACTCCGTTTGTCGATCAGCATCTTGAAAATTAAGCCTGTAAATGTTTCAAGTTCGTCATTTGCATTTGTCTGGCATCCTGAATACCCTTGGGCCTCTTTGCTTTATTCTCCTTGGCTTGGGTGCTCCTTTACTGGGGCGAACTACCGTAGCTAAAATGTAAGGGGGACGCAGAAAGGAGGCAGGATGTTACGCTGGACGAAGCAGTTCTTTACTTTAAAGGAACTTCAGTCGTATTAACCACAACAGTTCGAAAAATGCGTCAACACATCTTTAATTTGTACTATATTGCTAAACGTAAACAGGGTTAGCTTCGTATGCCAGGTTTTTTTCTTTCACTTATAGACCGAGACAGTATCTGTTTTCTGAACTGCGCATTTACACTGGCCCATTGTGTTACTTGCCTATTCCAACTTCCTCAGAAGTTGCAGCAAACGGTAATCGATTCTGTTTTCGTTGTTAACCGTTCACGAATTTTTGTTTTTTGTTTGTTTGTTTTTTTTTTTTTACGTAAAGATAACTCTCGGAGGCTTAACAGTACATTGTTTTCCAATCTATTCCAAGCCTGAAAAACTGCACTTTATTCCTTGATCGACGTGTGTTTTTTGCCTGGGTGTTGTATATCCAGATGCTTGTATCTTAAAGCTTTTGTTTCTGTGAAATCTAGTGAGTATGATTTTAGAGGTTCTTAACTGGGTATTGAACATTAGCCAATCACAGATTACAAAAAAGATTCAAAGAACCAATGAAATGAAAAAATCTCCTCAAAGCGCAGGAAAACGCGTCTGATGTAACGCAGTGCTATTTGTAATGGTTTGTCATTTGATTGGCTGATTGTCTGTTTAAGTCTTTTTGTAGTCTTCGTTAGGAATCGGCGGCTTCACCTGAACGGAGACTGGTTAAAGATACAACCTTTTCCTTTTTCCTCCTTCTCTGTGGAGGTGCGGCTGCCTATTTTCTTTTTCCTTTTTTTACAACAAGATTTGATTCAGCAGGTTTTAAAATCTTTGGATAGTGTAGATGGTATGATTTCATGCCAGAGGTTTTTATTCCCTGTTGGAACTTGAGGGAAGTTATATGATGTGGGTATAACATTTGAAATTAGAATGGAGCAGGAAACAGATGTTAGCTTTAAGACGTAAATTATCTCTGAAGACGAATCAAAGAGTAGTAATAAAAGTATTATCATTTGGCTTGTGTAACACATCCTCCAGTGTGAAGTTCCATTTTGTGGAGATTTTAGGGAATGCAAATAGGCGTCTTTCCTTTACAACAAATTTTGGGAAAGCCTTGCAAGAAGTACAAGAAGTAATTTACAATTAATTTAAGTAATTTACAAGTAGTAATTTCGCGCATCAAACGAGCGTCCTTATGTCGTGTTGAAACTTAGTTCGGGGGAACTGGTCGAGACTTCACATGACGTTCAGTGACCTAGCCGTTGTCGTTTCCAGGGTCCCCTCTTAAGAAGGAAAAGGAGCCTGGAAACAAGTATTGGCGTTTAAGAGTGGGACTGGGGGGTGCGCTATTGATAAACTAACAACACAAATCAAAGAACGCGGCTCAGCCTCAATCGTGTCGGTGTGGAGTCGGGAATCACCTACCATAACCCTTTACACCATTTTATCGAAATGCTTATCCTTCATGCCGTTCTGTATACATTTCCTGAAGTGCTGAAAAGGAGGATTTGTTTATCAGTCCTGAGCTTCTTCAGTTGATGATTATTTCTTTTATTCTTGTAACTTAATAATTTGATTCAGAGTGATGTCCTAATTAAGGAGAAGTTGACGCTAGTGTCTCTTAGAGGCGAAGGAGTTGTCCTACTTAAATTGATTTAAAACGAAAACTCACGCGAAGTGTAAACTGATCCTTGGTAAAGAATTGTTGTGAGATAAAATGGAGGCGCCACGAACGAAACCTTGACGATCCTATAGTCTACGGGCTCCTCAGTCTGGGGAATCTTACTATTATTCCATTGCAGTCCTTTCAATGACAGTCTTCTATTTTCCCAGAATGCCGTGGTAGACAGGTACCGGTGAATTCAACTCAGTGGATGATAATGGTTGAAACCTGATAAAAACCTGTAACTGTATCAATATTTTATCAACTGAGTACCATGTTCTTTCACCTCTTGAAAGCCGGTATGGCTCTAAAAATTCTTTGAGTAATTTCTTTACGTTGAGACTCGGACAGTTTCAAGCGAGCGATAAATCGAAAACCCAGAGGATGAGATCGACTATTGACTTGGCGTAAAGGGTACATCAGCAGACTGGATGGTGCACGCTACAAACATTTGCGGTCATTGTCACGAATTGACTCATTATGATGAGAAATCGGAGATTGTTTGTGAAAGTGTTCATACTAACCTCTCTATTTTGGCTCGCAGTGGACATTCTTTACATTTTAACTTCCATGAACAGCCAAATGAACTTTTTCGATACAGACTCGTTCGTAACGTTAGACGCGACCGGAAGTTCGCTTGAACTGCGCTCACGCGAGTCCTCACACGAGAACATGAAAGAGCGGAAGTGGCGAAGGCCAAGAGTAAAACCTTACTTTGCAGATGTGATACAAGGATTAGGAGATGACGGTGAGCCTGCATCTTTACCCCCGCGATTCAAGGACGAAGCAGAGCATGTTTTTGATAACCATTCATTTAATGTTATTCTCAGTGATCATATGTCATTGGACAGAACTCTTAAAGACTATCGGGGGCCAAAGTAAGTTAATTGTATCTATCCTTTGTGTCTTTCTATCCTTCTATTTCTATCTTTATTGGACGTCATAAATTAAGAGTTGAAAACGTTAGAACTTGAGGTGTACCATTATTTTTGTAAGTGGTTTATCGGCGGTAAATTACGATGGTCAGCTATTTGGCAAATAATTCAGATCAAGTTCCTTTAAACCAAACTCAGACCCCACCTCCCTCCCTCCCTTTAAAATAATTTCTTTTTTCTTACCAAGAAGAAAGGCAGCCTTTGTGCTAAAAAATTGTTGTTAAAAATACTCCTGGTTGATGGTCTAAACCTCGACTTCATGAACCCTAAATTTTTGTTTTTTTTGTTTTAAGTAAATGCTTCACTGACTAATGATTCTCAGGCTCCACTCTTTCATGATCTTTGAGCAATAACTTTGAAAAATTGTAGATACAAAAGCGTGCATATTGTTTTACCTAATGATGACAACGCTGATTTAAAACATGTACACTATCTTTTTCTTTTCGTTTTCATTTCGTCGTGTTACCTGTTGTTGGAAAGTGTGCTTTGCTTAACATAGAGTATGTTATGTGGGTCAAAGACAACTCCATCAGTACATTCTAATTTATTTTTCCCGTTTGTTTTAGGTGTCGCAAAAAACACAAGAAATACCCTACTAATTTACCGACTACAAGCGTAATCGTTTGTTTCCATAACGAGGCACTGTCCGTTTTGTTAAGAACAGTACACAGTGTCCTCAATCGGTCGCCTCCACATCTCCTGGCTGACATTGTGTTGGTAGATGACTTCAGTGAATACCGTAAGAAATTAAATCTATCTCAGTTACTTCGCTTTGTACAAAAACATAAGTGGAAAAAGAAAAAAAACAAGGCGTTAGCGCACTGCACGGAACTCTGGGAAAAGTAGTACTCGGACACAGTTCCGCGCGGGACGTTAGCATCTAATTTTTTTTTTTCAGTTTTTTTTTTTTTTTTTCTTACTCGTGAGGACTTCGACGAAAACGAGGGATTGCTCGTAGTCTAACAAATCAGTGAATTACCATAAAACTTGTGGGTGAACATCAACTCGTGCTTTGCATTTTTACCTCGTCAGTCCCCTTTTATTGCCTAAACGCCGACTTTATAACCTTTTGATCTCTATGGATTATTCCTAATTTCCGAAACTTAAATGACATATCTAACCGTTTAATTATTTCATTTAATTTAACAGAGAACCTCAAAATGCCGTTGGAGGAACAACTTAGCGAATTTGAAAAAGTTAAAGTTATTCGGATGTCTCGGAGGGAAGGCCTGGTTCGAGCGCGGCTTCGCGGAGCCGAGGTGTCCCGAGGGGAGGTTTTAACTTTCTTGGACTCTCATTGTGAAGCAACTGAAGGGTGGCTAGAACCGCTACTGGCTCGGATTGCGCAGAATCGCACCAATGTCGTGTGTCCTGTGATAGAAGTGATAAATGCCGACGACTTTGGTTATCAAACATCAGACGTGATTTATGAGCGCGGAGGGTTTTCGTGGGATTTGTTCTTTACCTGGAAAGCCATTCCAGAAGAGGAAAAGAAACGAAGAGAGGACGAAACAGACTTCATAAGGCAAGTGGGAAATTAAGGTTGTTGGCTGTCTGGGTAGCACTCTCCCTTGGTCAGTTTTAAGTGAAACGATAATGAACGATTGACTAGCAATACCATCAAAATGGTCTCAGTCGATTTCAGTTGTCGTAACGGCGAAAGATCGTCAGGGAAGCTCCACAAAACACCGCTGTTGTTGACTGCCAGGATTTTAACAATCGTAATAGAGGCCATCTTAAGAATCAGCCTACCTAACTCTGAGGAACGTAACGATTATCACACAAACGACCATGCGACTGACATTCCGACCATAAGAATGAAATCCCGACCAGACGATTTCTAATCGGACCGCATTAGACAACTGATACCCTCAACAAACGATACATTTTCCGAGCTGACGATTGATCGATACTCTGGGAGACGACTGAGTGATACTACGAACAGACGACTGATACGGCTAGCAGATAACCGATCCTCCGAACAGATGGCTGATACTCCCGAGCAGACGACTGATACTCCGAGCATACGACTAATACTCCGGACAGACGACTGATACTCCGAACAGACGACTGATACGCCGAGCAGGCGACTGATACTCCGAACAGACGGCTGATACTCCCGAGCATACGACTGATACTCCGAGCATACGACTGATACTCCGAACAGACGAATGATACTCCAAACTGACGATATGGATTGCTGACCGAGCAACTAACATGATATTCTGAGAAGACTAGTGACCCTCTGATCAGACAAAAGATCTACGATTGAGTGCATGTTACTGACCGGTTGTCACAGAAGAAAATATCTCTCCATTGTATGCTTTCTGTCCCTCTTTTGAGATTTTGGTTCGTATCTGCTTATTCTTCATTTCAGGAGTCCTACTATGGCGGGCGGTTTGTTCTCGATGCATAAACAGTATTTTTACGACCTAGGATCATATGACGACCAAATGGACATTTGGGGAGGGGAGAACCTGGAACTATCCTTCAGAGTAAGACTAATATGTCAGTGCGACCGGAAATATTGTGGTGATAACTAAACCTCGGCATGCCACTCCAATGCACCTTTTGTTTATAGAAAAGGAACATGCCAGCGAAAACAAACAAACAAAACATTAATTACTTCAGAAACAAACTAAAGGACATACTCCCTTGTCCATCTCTCCAAATCTGTCTCCGACATCAAAAATTTCAGAATCGATTTCTGTAGATTAAATCTGGAATCAAGCGCACAACAGTAAGATTTCACTAACAGTGCAGTGCGAAGAAATGACCTCTTTGTTTAAAGTGTATATGGATCTAAGTTAAAACTTAATCAACACAACAAATAAGGAATGATTTTCCTTTAGGCGTTAAATCTAGCATGAAATGCAAGAATTTTGCTCAACTGCATATTTTTACGATTGCTGCGACAATTGTGTGATGAATCACAAATCATCTTGTCTTTAACCAAGGTATGGATGTGTGGAGGACAGTTGGAGATCGTACCATGCTCACGTGTTGGTCACGTGTTTCGTAAATATACGTCACCTTACAAGTTTCCTAAGGGTACTGGAGTCACTCTGGCGAAGAACTTCAATCGTCTGGCCGAAGTATGGCTGGACGAGTACAAGGAATTTTACTACAGGTACTGATACAATAGAGAAGTGTTATAAATCGTGTAATTGTCGATAGATCACGCTGTGAAAGGAGACTGTTTGCAGTCAATTTAACAAATAGATTCCATTCATTTTCCTAGTTTCTGTTCGGTAATAGATAAGATGACGTCAAAATGTGGTAGGGGTAAAAAAAATGGCGCACTGATGCACCCACTTGTACACATTTGATCTAGTGAAGACTTCGTCTAACTTACAGGAGGAAAACTGATGAAGAGAAAAGCGTCGATATTGGAGACATAAGCGAGCGAGTAAAGCTAAGAGAGAGACTGGGCTGTAAGAGCTTTAAATGGTATCTGGAAAACGTGTTCACGGATATGGCTTCAGTGGATCCCAATCCCCCGGCGCAAGGCGAGGTAAAATAAAGTGCTGCGTGGTGGCTCCATTCTCAGATAATTTGTGGGATTATTTAAGCAACTGCCGCACTTTGTGTCTGTGTGCCGGAAAAATAATATAACCCATGGACATGATTTGTTTTTCATTGTGCTTAAGCCCCTAATATACCTTTCATATAGAAAAAATTCGCGGTAATGCTGTCAGGTTATACGCACATTCTCCTATAACCAGCACTTCCACCTCAATTTTAGATACGAAATCCAGGCTCATCTCTATGTGTGGACACGCTTGGAGAGAAATCGGCCAAAGTAGACCGCGTGGGACTGTACACCTGTCATGGCATGGGAGGAAACCAGGTAACGTGTTCCCGACCTGCTGACCACCTTAAGCGCATAAAATTGTGGTTAGTTAAATCAATCATCGGTGCCTCCCAAAGTCATGGGAAGTTAAGCGACAGAGCTTCAGCCAGTGCAACGACGAATTAGTAATAAACGAGTTCCGGACATCACGCCGCGCTCGTTCATGCTATCTTCATTTCCACTCCGTTTCGCGTAGGAGGAAAGTTACCATCGTCTCACCAGCAATTGGGAGCATGCAAGGTAGATTCTCTTCTCTCCCCAAAGAGCGGTCACATGCACCTTTAAGCGGTAACCCTTCCCTCTTCCATGAGCTTCGTCCTTGATGACAAAAGTAATTCTATATAATTATATATATACCCTTAAAGTCGGCCATCACAGGATTTTTTTATCGTTTCTTACGATGATTCCCCCTCCGCTTCCAGTTTTTCACCTTGACGAAGATGAACGAAATTCAGTTCGGCGATGACAAGTGTTTGGACGCGCCGAACAGCGAGCCGGGAAGCTTTGTTGAGATGATCACGTGTCATGCTTTGAGGGGAAATCAGGAATGGAAACACGACAAGAGAAAGGTAAAGTTGGAACATGGCTTAAAACTTGTTCAACAAAAACAGACAACACAACAAAGAGAAAAAATAAACAAACAAACAAAAAGGTGAACCACATCAATTTGCTTTCGCCTTGTTGCGTTCCTTGGCTAGTTATAACTTATAAAAAAAAACAAAAAAACAAAAAAACGGCCGAAGCGCTCAACTTTTCATTTACCCGATCGGCAAACAGACGGAGTTAAACCAAAACTCCGCGAACATGCTCGCGTGCGTTATGTCGCGTTTGGCACAAGTAAAATGATTCTCTGCGTGATTTGGTCATGCAACTGACCCTGCAATCAACTCTGCGGGAAGCTTTGGCCTAAAAACTATTCGCGACCAACATCCCATTAGCAGCTCTTCTCACTGTCTGTGATACCATTTTTATTATGCAAATTCGGATAATTTGTTTATGGATTAGCTAATAACCCGCTAATTAACATTTTGTTTTATTCTCATCACTCGCCTGTTTGTTATTGTATTGATATTTTCATGAGAAATTCTCTCTCGGTCACTAGTGGGAGTTTTAAGAAGGGTTCAGCTATTATAATTTCGTGTTTCTTTTCCAGGGTAGCATAGTTCACGTCTGGACAGGCACGTGTTTAGACTTGTCTAAAGACAGACAGAATCTTGTCGTTAATCCATGCAGGAAGGGAAAAAGTTCACAAAAATGGAAGTTTTCCCGTTACCAACAGCTTAAGAGCAAGAACAGTTCTTAGCATGTCCAATAAATTTTCGAACGTATACCAAGATATAGGGAACCCAAGAAGAACAGGAACACTTTGATGACGCCGACTATACGTCGATAAAAGATCGGAAATGTTCGGTTCCTTACGAAGATTTGCCGTAAATGACAGTTCCTGGGACAAAAACTGTACCGAGCATGCTCGAAACGCCAATATTTGTCGACAGGCCCCAGTTGGTCGAAGGTTGGATAATGCTATCCACTAGAAACCAGGTTGCGTGGGGAGGGCAACCATGTCTGAAATCTGTACCATTTCACATGTAATAGTGATCGATTTTTTTTAGCACAATTTCTTTTGCAAACTGCTAGTAACTGTATGTTAGAAAGCCCATAGGCCATGGCGGGTTTTGCTCTTGTAGTTCAAAAGTCATTGATTCCTAATAAAATTCGAGTATTCATCACTTGAAAGTTCTTCGCGTATCCTCTTAGTCTCTAGAGGTATTAATCAATATTAAAATACGTTTTTGTTATTGAATGTCCATTTCTTCTTCTTCTTCTTCTTCTTCTTCTTCGCCGTCATCAGCGTCAGAGTTGTCTTCCAAGCTGCCATTTTCTTCACCCAGGTTTTCAACTTCAGGTAAACTTGCCAGCATTTCAGTCACGTGATCCATCATAGGCTGATCATCACATCCGAATTGTGTAAAAAGCTGAGAACATTTTAAATATACATTGAAAAAAATAGCAGTAGTACATCAACACAATGTCCCTCTTTTGTTCACTGTTTTGCGCGTCGAATTGGGATTTGACAGGATGTTTTTCGGTTTGAAGAAATAAAGATTGGAAAAAAAAAAAAGAATAGAAAACAAAGCATAGTTTAAAAGGTCTGGAGTTCGATTCCTGGTAGAAACGCAGTTTTTTTTTTCTTTTTCCGATGCTTGTGGCAAAACAATTAACATTTTTCTTTAAAGATTTAACAGCTGGTATGTGTTACATATAACGCTTGGAGACCAACATGAAAACCCTTACGTACTTTTTGAGCTTGTTCCAGGCACGTTCTGATGCTTATGCTGTCCTGATTTGTGATATGATTCAACCAGCCGAGTAAATACCATACCTATCGAGTGAAAACTGAAAGTCATGAAGTTTTTCAGTCAGTAAATCACACATACACGTAAAAAAAACACAATTTTTTTTCTTAATCTTTAACTGTTCCAAATAAGGGTCAAACCTAAGACCTTTTGGGCCCAATTGTTTAAAGAGAAGGCACCGCAATCCCAACAGATCAATATCTGTCCAATGGATAAGCGTTAACAAAATGTATTGTGCTATCCTTCGGACAGAAATTCGTCCAATGGATCTCGTTATCCAACCTTCAAACAACCAGGGTCTTCTGTACAATGTATTTCAAACAAAATTTCAAAAATGAAAGGAAAGCAACATTATAAAACCATCAGAGTCAAGATACTGTTTACGCCTTGATTAACAGTACCTGAGAAACTTCATCACTTTCCTCAATAAGTTCTTCGAGGACTGAACCAGCAGTCTGTAACAAAAGGGGTAAACATCATTACTCAAAGCAATGCATGTGATACACTTACATGTACATATGTTAACCCTCTAACTCCTAGATGTGATTAACATATAACTTCTCTCTATAATATCCATACATTATCCAGCAAACAGGTAATGAGAATATTCAGATTTATCAGATGGAAGTTGTTCCCTTGATTGAACATCAAATTCTCATAACCAATGTACACTGAAAAACTATTTGGCAAGCAAATTTTGATGAATTTTTTTTATTTAAATGGTTTGTTTCAACTAATTCCTTACCTCATAATTTTCTAACTCAATCAGCAGCTTTGCTGTTGTAATTCTGGTTTCATATGGAGGCACTGGTGCCTAAAACAATTACAATCAGACTGAGTGTAAATAAATACCAACAATTATTTGTGTGAGTCACTGAGAAGAATCTCAGTGATGCTGAACACAGCTTAGGGAAAAAACTATAGAACTGCTTATGATTCATTATCCAATCACAAAAAGAAATCCAAAGAATGATGAAGAACCAATCAAACCACTTAGGTGTAAAAAGATGTATTTTGTCATAAATTTAATGTATTTTCAGGGATATTATTGCCAACTGATGTGTGTTGTAAGCTCATTCAACCAAGAGGAGATGGAACCTAGGGTCTGGAAACAATATCATAAATTAAACAGTTTAAAAGGCTTCAAATATTTGACACAAACCTCAGGAAGTTCTTCATCTTTTCCTTGCCACAGCTCCAGACTCTTATCTAGCATCTTCTGTGCCTCATCCATGTTTTGCTGACTCACCAGACAGCTGGCCATCAGCTGAAAGGCTTCAGGGTTGGTTGGGTCGAATTCAACAGCTTTCTGACAGCATTCATAGCACTTGCTGTCTGCTTCTTCTTTAAAACTTTAAAATTATGGAATGCAAGTCTTAATTTTCCAAAATTATTGCTTCTTAACCATTATGAAAAACTTCAGACTGGTATATTTTGAATAAAATCATCAAAAGAAGATTTTGAGACTTGCTAGATGAATGTGTCCACTTGACAGAAGAACTGGTTGATGCAGCTTTCCCTAATCAGTGGTTTTATTGTTAAGAGGTTATATACTTTAGTTAAAAATGTACAAACAAGCTTTTTTCAGCTGCTTCCTGCCGTTGTAAGGCAAAAAAAGTGCATGGAAATTAAATGCTCACCATTCATCAGTGAGATACATTTCTGCCAGGGAGCAGTAAGCTGTTGATATTTCATTGGATGATGCAGCCATGCTATCACTTGCAGATGCCTGAAGTCAAAACAGTACAAACAGTTTGCAGATGTCATTTCCCTAGGGCAAGGTACTCAACAATGAGTAAGGGTGGGTACTGGTGATCTATTGGGAGAACTCAGTTCAAAAGGGGGACATGTATTGTTAGTAGTAAAATCTCGTTGATCAGGCAATGATGGCTCAGAAGTAGTAATCTGCTTCATTTGGCAACTAATTCCCAAGACAAAAGGCTAAGTTTTGGTTCGTGGGCTAGTTGTATTGCATGCCAATTACTAATTGTAAAAAGAAAACTAATGGATGAACTCAACTTACTTGAGAAGATTCATTATCTTTGCTAGCAATCATCAACTGAATTCCCTTTTTAAAGGTGGCAACTGCTTCTTGACCCTCCAACAACTGACCAAGATTCATGTATTTTGAATAACCTTGGTCTGGAGATATCCTTACAGCATTTTCAAAGCACTCAGTTGTTAAAGAAATAAAAACATAACTTGCCCCAAAACCTCTGAAGATTTAAATTGCACCATGTAATTTTCTATTGAGATGGCTTAACATGTCCCTGTAGTTGTAACATTTTAATTTGATATAAAGTGATGGAAATTTGGTGTTTTTTTTTTTTTTTCATTATTTCAAACATCCTATATATAAACAACAATAAACATATGAAACATATGTATGAACTGCGGTTATGAAACGTATATGTGCACAATCCTTCGCAGTAAAGCACTATTTGAGCAATAGTGAAAATCAGACCTGAAAAAAATTTCAGGCCTGTACGGGATTCGAACCACTGACCTCTGCGATACTAGTGCAGCGCTCTACCAATTGAGCTAACAAGCCAACTGGGAGCAGGCCATCAAATTAATTCGACATAAACCCGTAGATGATAAATCAAACAACAACAAACATATGAAACATATGTATGAACTGCGGTTATGAAACGTATATGTGCACAATCCTTCGCAGTAAAGCACTATTTGAGCAATAGTGAAAATCAGACCTGAAAAAAATTTCAGGCCTGTACGGGATTCGAACCACTGACCTCTGCGATACTAGTGCAGCGCTCTACCAATTGAGCTAACAAGCCAACTGGGAGCAGGCCATCAAATTAATTCGACATAAACCCGTAGATGATAAATCAAACAACAACAAACATATGAAACATATGTATGAACTGCGGTTATGAAACGTATATGTGCACAATCCTTCGCAGTAAAGCACTATTTGAGCAATAGTGAAAATCAGACCTGAAAAAAATTTCAGGCCTGTACGGGATTCGAACCACTGACCTCTGCGATACTAGTGCAGCGCTCTACCAATTGAGCTAACAAGCCAACTGGGAGCAGGCCATCAAATTAATTCGACATAAACCCGTAGATGATAAATCAAACAACAACAAACATATGAAACATATGTATGAACTGCGGTTATGAAACGTATATGTGCACAATCCTTCGCAGTAAAGCACTATTTGAGCAATAGTGAAAATCAGACCTGAAAAAAATTTCAGGCCTGTACGGGATTCGAACCACTGACCTCTGCGATACTAGTGCAGCGCTCTACCAATTGAGCTAACAAGCCAACTGGGAGCAGGCCATCAAATTAATTCGACATAAACCCGTAGATGATAAATCAAACAACAACAAACATATGAAACATATGTATGAACTGCGGTTATGAAACGTATATGTGCACAGTCCTTCGCAGTAAAGCACTATTTGAGCAATAGTGAAAATCAGACCTGAAAAAAATTTCAGGCCTGTACGGGATTCGAACGCGACCTTTATGTGTGATTCAGGGGTGATACTGTCAGGAAAAAATAGATGCTACATACTATAGTCCCTTTAAGGGGTCACAACCTTAAGGATACTGATTTTGCCTTATCCATATCTCCAGTTTCAAGGTATACTGATCCAGCCATTTCCAATACTTCCATATTATCAGGTTCAATGCAAAGAGCTCTCTCACAGAACTTCACTGCCAATTCATAATTAAAATTATCAAGACACTCGTCTACCTGCAAAATTATAAAAAATGCAAACACTCAGTTGTGTAGTACTATTAATCTGAAGACATACATAATATAATCATATAAAACAAAGTCAATCATCTACATGCAAACTTAATTCGCAGAAAAGCTATATTCACTCCCACCTTGAAATGAAACATGTTCTCAAAGCAAAAATACTTATCCTCTCAAAAAAGGAAGCTGCTTTCAAACTTAAAGAAAATATTATATTAAAATTAGCCATGGTTTAAACTGCAGTTATCATGGTGGAGATATCATGTTTTAGAAACTGGAGAAATTCTGGTTTTTCATTAATAATCATAGAATAAGCCTAGGAAATACATTGCAAGTAGACATGTTAAAAAAATAAACCTGCTTTAGTAGATCTTTTATGCTGTATCTATTCTTTCCTTTTATTTTCTCATTTTCTTGAACCAGATCAGTTTCACCACCATTATCAGATTTGCCTGAGTCTGTCAAAGGTTTTTCACTATGTTCAGAGGAAGATCCTGATGGAACATAAATCCATTAATTAATATGATACTATTCTACAAAAAAACAATTGTGATGGATAAAACAGTTTAAACAAAAATTGACTCATTTGTAGTATTGACTGCAGCAAATAAACTTCCAGCTCTGATCGACTCTTTGAATCATAAGGGCATACGATAGCTTCATCGATCGCATTGTCAAAAAGTCATGGAATTGAAAGATAAAAGGACAAAAAAACTGTTCAAAACAACAGAGTCTTGAAGGAACGAAAAGAAAAAAGTTAAACGTAACTTCCTGATTCAGCTGTTTTAAAACACTGAAAACAAGATTGCACGTGGACAAAGCAATGTGAGGAAAGAAGATGCTATTGCTATGACAAATAGACTTTAAACTGGCAATTTCCAAGAATTATAATCAAGTACCCTGCATAAAAAAGAAATTACCTTTCTTTTTCGCTGCTGAAGTGGTTTTCTTTGCTTTCCTTTTCCGTTCTTTCCCCATGTTTTCATTTCTGGAAAAATGATTTTCGAAATAAATACTTTCAGGGAAAACCGCTGACGGGTCTGTCGCTTACTTGAACAAATGATCTGTTTGTGTATGAGCCACCATGTCTCGACCCCTGCAATCTAGATTCGATTCGTGTCTATAAAACTGGAACGACGAAACGTCCAGAAACCAGGCAATGGAGATGAAGTGTAAGAAATACATTGAATATCAATACCACGAATAGCATATATTGTAACACGTTTAAAATAAAAACTGAGAAGGTGATTTGATCACAGTGACCCATACTGAGGTCATGGTATACGTCACAAATCCTACATAAAGCATAAGCAAATGCGCGGGGCACGAAATGAGGAATTGAGGATATGGTAGTTTTGATCAGAAATCTACAGGGTCGCACATTTCTAAACTTGCCTGGCTTATTACAGAATTGTAATACCCTTGTAGACATTTTAAGAATCAGTCATTTTGATGTGAACGTTCTTTTCGTTGGAAAAGGTTTTATCAAGGGCCTTAATTTGCGTTACAAAAGAAGAAATGTTGTTACCGACATCTTAAGCTTTCCAAGCTTTGAGGTCAGTACAAAAAGATTTGTTGTGATAATATGATAATTTTATTAGAAGATGAGGAATTCTAAATTTTATTTTGAGCTTCCTGATGGAGTTCTCACTTTTTCTCTTAATTATACAGTCATTCAGTTAGTGAGTAACTGTCAAGCATGCAATTCAGTCAATTTATAATTTATAGTCACTTATGGGTAATTAATAGTCAATCTATCATTCTTTTAGTCTTTCAGTCTGTTAGACCATCAGTCAGCAGTTATTCCTGTAATGAAATTAAGTTAAAACATAGGAACTGCAATTGCATTAAAATTTGCTTCAACCAGACCTTTATGCTAATTAATATTAACGTCATTTGAAATGCCTTATCGCTCTCTTTAAGAAAGAAAAAATATTTATGTATAGGCTTGATCCAGTTCCACAATGAACCAAGAAGATAAAAAAAAAAGAATTGTGACCAAGTCTTTTGCAGATGGTTTTTAGAGAATCAAGAAAATTCAAGGAGACAGCTTTAAAATTAGTCCTGTATCAGTTGGATAAAGGTTTATTGTGAACAAACCACTGTCCCTGAGATTGTCTCCGTATGTCTTTGATGGTTCTGTTCCACAGGATTTAACCCCTGGTGTCCTGCCACCTCTTCCACGGCCATTTGATGATTACACACTGGGTGATATTGTCCTTGGAACTCCAAAAATTGTTGAAGACTGTGAGGTTGACAGCAAAGATTTGGATGATTAGATACCAGTAGGTCACTCAGCTGATTCTCACTTATCAATGTACTTTACTGCATGTACACCTAGAATTCAGTTTGAGGTTTTATTTGTAACTTCAGGTTGTAATAACCCATGGCCTTTTTCACTTGCTTGGATATACACATGATACTCAACAGAAGCTTAATAAGGTACATGTAGTTAAGAAATGGATTCCATGTTGCTGTGTGTCTGATTAGATCCTAGAAGATGTCAAAATGGTATGAGAACAAAACATTGGTCTGTGAAGCACAGCTACAAAATTAATAAAGAGCACCCTTAAGTTTCACTCCCTCATATCCGGCCAGTCATGTAGTTGTTTATCGTAAGTAGACTTTTGCAATAGATTGTTCTGCACAGGGTCTAACTTGGCATTCTCTGACCAACACCATCTCTCTACAATTTCAATACTTATTTAATCCAAAAAGGAGTTGATGATACATAATTGAGGAACTTGTCAAAGGGTATGTGCTATCTTGATGAAATGTCAAATTCCCTTGACAATTTGGGGGGAAATATCAATCAGTTCTTAGTTTGCAAGTACTTTTCTAAAGTGTATATATTTTAATTTAAAGTTGTGTTTTGGCAAGGGCTCATTTTCATTTACTCTGTAGATGCGAACTAAGGAGATAGAAGTTCTAATGGAATTTAACAAAAGAACTGGTTTGAATACAGTACCAATGATGCCAGAAAAGATTGAGGATCTTACATTGAGTAAGTGAATGTTAATACAGCACAGTATGTGAACCTCTTCTCAAATACAGCATGTTAGGTAACAACAAGGTTAAAGTGTATCAATCCAGTTCTCTTAATTGAGTTTCATTGGAGCATTTTGTGGTGATAGTGAGCGATCATAATGAAGTGTTTGGTTAAAACAAGAAAAAAAAAAGAAATTTTAGTTATTTTTATTACAAGCAGATTGTGTTTGGTATACACCAAATGCAAATATGGCGTCCAATTTGAATTGCCATTGTTCTAGACTCACTAGCCTTGTCTTCACATGGAAATACAAATTAAAGGATTTTTACATGTGTGAGAGGCTAGTCAGTCCAGAACAATGGAAACTCAAATTTGATGCCAAATTTGCATTTGGTGTATAATGTGCCACATTTGTAGCCAATCATTGAATCTTTATATTTTTGTTTTCTTACTATTTTTTTTTTTCAGGCCCTTGAATAAGAAAATTGTCACAGAAGAGATCGCTGTGCAAGAGACGACCAGTAATAAAGTGAAAGAAATCATAAGAGAGGAATAAATTTAAAGAAAGGAAATTATAACATAACCAAAGTAAAGCGCGTGCTCTGATTGGTCAATTTAGCATCCCCCATTTTCCCATGGGTGTATGCTGCTGACGTGAGCAAATGCAAAGACTATTTTTCCGCGTGTGCTTGTTTTTTCTGGTCACGTAAGATTTGTTAAATAAAAGGGAACTCTTTAGCTACAATGTATCAATGTTATGTTATAAAACAAATGGTAAACACCACAGCGTACACTATTGAGTTATGGATGCACTTGGGAGGTTTGCTAAGCACTCAAGAAGCTAGAGTCGCTCTCGGCTATCGCCTCGAGCGACTCTTACGCTTCTTTCGTGCTTAGCAACCTCCCGCGTGCATCCATAACTCAATAGTGTACGCTGTGGTGTTTACCATTTGTTTTATAACATAACATTGATACATTGTAGCTAAAGAGTTCCCTTTTATTTAACAAATCTTACGTGACCAGAAAAAACAAGCACACGCGGAAAAATAGTCTTTGCATTTGCTCACGTCAGCAGC